GATTAGCTTTCATAGCCTTTTTCCAACCAAGAACAAACAACAGGCAGCAGTTGTTTAATTTTGGAGTTGTCTCTCTATACGAGTTGTTGTCCCCAGCTATCGAGTTGTCTCTCCTAGAAGAGTTGCTGCCCCAAGCTATCGAGTTTTCTCTCCTAGAAGAGTTGTTGTCCCCAGCTATCGAGTTGTCTCTCCTAGAAGAGTTGTTGTCCCTAGCTATCGAGTTGTCTCTCCTAGAAGAGTTGTTGTCCCCAGCTATCGAGTTGTCTCTCCTAGAAGAGTTGTTGTCCCCAGCTATCGAGTTGTCTCTCCTAGAAGAGTTGTTGTCCCTAGCTATCGAGTTGTCTCTCCTATACGAGTGGCTGTTCTTAGCTATCGAGTTGTCTCCCCTAGAAGAGTTGTTGTCCCCAGCTATCGAGTTGTCTCTCCTAGAAGAGTTGTTGTCCCCAGCTATCAACTTTTCTCTCCTAGAAGAGTTGTTGTCCCCAGCTATCGAGTTGTCTCCCCTAGAAGAGTTGTCCCCAGCTATCGAGTTGTCTCACCTATAAGAGTTGTTGTCCCCAGCTGTCGAGTTGTCTCGCCTAGAAGAGTTGTTGTCCCCAGCTATCGAGTTGTCTCCCCTATACGAGTGGCTGTCCCCAGCTATCAAGTTGTCTCCCCTAGAAGAGTTGTTGTCCCCAGCTATCGAGTTGTCTCACCTATATGAGTGGCTGTCCCCAGCTATCGAGTTGTCTCCCCTATACGAGTGACTGTCCCCAGCTATCAAGTTGTCTCCCCTAGAAGAGTTGTTGTCCCCAGCAATCGAGTTGTCTCACCTATATGAGTGGCTGTCCCCAGCTATCGAGTTGTCTCTCCTAGAAGAGTTGTTGTCCCCAGCTATCGAGTTGTCTCCCCTAGAAGAGTTGTTGTCCCCAGCAATCGAGTTGTCTCCCCTATACGAGTGACTGTCCCCAGCTATCAAGTTGTCTCCCCTAGAAGAGTTGTTGTCCCCAGCAATCGAGTTGTCTCACCTATATGAGTGGCTGTCCCCAGCTATCGAGTTGGCTCCCCTATACGAGTGGCTGTCCCCAGCTATCGAGTTGTCTCCCCTATATGAGTGGCTGTCCCCAGCTATCGAGTTGGCTCCCCTATACGAGTGGCTGTCCCCAGCTATCGAGTTGTCTCCCCTATACGAGTGGCTGTCCCCAGCTATCGAGTTGTCTCCCCTACATGAGTGGCTGTCCCCAGCTATCGAGTTGTCTCCCCTATACGAGTGGCTGTCCCCAGCTATCGAGTTGTCTCCCCTATACGAGTGGCTGTCCCTAGCTATCGAGTTTTCTCCCCTAGAAGAGTTGTTGTCCCCAGCTATCGTGTTGTCTCCCCTATACGAGTGGCTGTCCCCAGCTATCGAGTTGTCTCCCCCAGAAGACTTGTTGTCCCCAGCTATCGAGTTGTCTCCCCTAGAAGACTTGTTGTCCCCAGCTATCGAGTTGTCTTCCCTAGAAGACTTGTTGTCCCCACCTATCGAGTTGTCTCCCCTAGAAGACTTGTTGTCCCCAGCTATCGAGTTGTCTTCCCTAGAAGACTTGTTGTCCCCACCTATCGAGTTGTCTCCCCTAGAAGACTTGTTGTCCCCAGCTATCGAGTTGTCTCCCCTAGAAGACTTGTTGTCCCCAGCTATCGAGTTGTCTCCCCTAGAAGACTTGTTGTCCTTAGCTATCGAGTTGTCTCCCCAGAAGACTTGTCCCCAGCTATCGAGTTGTCTCTCCTATACGGGTGGCTGTCCCTAGCTGTCGAGTTCTCCCCTAGAAGACTTGTCCCCAGCTATGGAGCAGCAGAGGGACTTTCGGTTTAGCTTAACCCACCCGACCCCGTCGACCCCCTTTTTCTGATCAAATTTTCAAGGTCATGTCTTGCTTTTAATCGTCTTACAACAAACGTACACGCCGCGTTTTAAAATCTCTCTTTATTTTCAAAATCAAAACGAAATCGTATTTTCTCTACTGGGGGTAGCCTGGTCTGAAACATATTTGACCCCCCCCCCCCCCGCCTCGCTAATTATGCAACTTATACCCTGTGTACAACCCCTTCATAATGTTCAACTAATGTTCTTGTATTTGATTCACATGACCCCCCCCCCCCCCCCCCACACACACACACACACTCACCTGACTATTTCATTCGGTTAACTGATGGTTCTAGCAATGTTTACTTAACTTCTCTTGACTAATCGCATCGACAAAAGGGAAATAACTCCCGTCTGCAAATTACCAGTTATCTTTTCTTGGCATACTAATAGTATATCAAATCAGTACCTAATAAAAATAATGGCATACGAGCCGGCATTAAATTAATGACTTGACAATGGGAACGGAAGGGTTCGGTGTTTTAATACATGTGACGAGGGGAACAGTGTAACGGCGGGGTGGGCGGACTAAATTTTCCGGGGTGTGGAGCGGACACTGGTGAGAGTATATGTTTTCTATATTCCATTCAGTGTTTCTTACAGACTTTCTTCTCCGTGGGGGGGGGGGGGGGCGAACAAAAACTTTCGGGGGAAGGGGGCGGACACTGCTTAAAGTATATACATTCTATATAAATTCCATTTCGTTCGGGGGGGGGGGGGGAGGGGATGCCCGGAAGATACTCTGTAGGGAAAAGGGTGGAAAGGGAGAGGGTTAAAAAGTTACGTCACACGTTTTCAGTTTTACTTTCTCGTATATACGAAGTATAGAGAAAGTCTTGTAATCGTGCAAAAAAAATCGAGATTTTTACAAATTTCGACGTTTTACACCTCATTGATACGGAAAAACATAATTTTGCAATCTTGTCCGTATGTCTGTGTGTCTGTCTGTGTGTCTGTCTGTCTGTCCGTGTTTAAACACGATAACTTGAGTACCGTTACAGCTAGGTTGATGAAATTTCATATAAAAGTATTTTATCAAAATTGTAGATCCGTATCAACTTTTAAGCGATTTCCGATAACCGGAAGTGGTACTTTTCCTACTTTGAAGTTTTCAAAAGCCTATAACTTGAGTACTATTTCAGATAGATAAATAAAATTTCACATGTGAGTAAAAAATCTAATTCTCTACCTTCTGTTAAATTTTGAGTAATTTCCGTTGACTGGAAGTAGTACTTTACGCTACTTCCGATTTCTCAAAAAAACTAATGTAAATTTTAAAAGTACTAATAATATTGCGCACTATTATGCGCTTTTTTATTTGGCGTTCACTTGGTGTGCAATTAATTTGTCTACGAGATTTTATTCTATTTTTAAAACTTTAAGTATTTAAAATGGATTAAAAATCATGTCTATAGCCCGAGTTTCCATCCCCTGTTATTTTATATAAAAATATTCGAGAAAGTTTAGGGGAGATCACTCCCGGTTTATTTTAAAGTAATTTTTGAAAATGAATTTCAGCTGTTATTTCTTCTGGTTAAGGAAGTATGTAAAGTGTAATTAACATTTAAAACAAAGAGCGAGGTCAGCTAAAATGTATTAGAAGGAGTCGCTGCTTTTTATTATTTTTTTATTTTTAGATAGGCAGTGTGTGCTCAAGTGCAATGTAGTTTTTGTTGGGGGGGGGGGGGGGGGGGCTATCTAACTTTTTGGGACGACACATAACGATAGATGCAGGGTGGGGGGTGTAATTCATAAACATTAGCGTAACATCGTTAAAGGACGTTTCTACAGCCCATCCCCACTCCCACCCCACGCGTATTTTGTCAACCTAAGACATCCCTATGAATATTGAACTAATACATTCGGTCTGTTCTAACGCATCCCTTTAACATGAATGTACACAGACAAAACCATCTTTCCTCTTGACCTAAGCTTTAGCCGTGTGCAACACACCGTGGCCAGATCAAATTTCAGTCGCCAGGACAAAGCAAGCGAAAACTCGACATAACAAATAAAAAACTTGAAACCTGACTTTGATGCTGGTACTTAATTATGCTGGCCTAATGACAGCCCAATCAATGCGACAGCTGAGGCGGTCCTTGTATAAACATGTTCATTCAATTGTTTTACATACAATTTATTTAACAATGTTTGTATCAAAACGAATATAGAAGGGATACGTGTGGTATTTAGACTAGAATTGACAATTTGAAAGGATGGTAGAAGGGGTGGACTGGGTTGGATGGTATATATTTGTAGAAGAGTTCACCTTTCTGGCACTTCATTTTGTACTTATTGTACACATTGTTCTTATTGTATAGGCATATATTGTACAAACTGTACATATTGTACATACTGTACACATTGTACATATTGTACATATTGTACATATTGTACACATTGTACACATTGTACATATTGTAAATATTGTACATATTGTACATATTGTACACATTGTACATATTGTACACATTGTATACATTGTACATCTTGTACATTTTGTACATATTGTACACATATTCAACTAATTGCTATGTAAAGATTGTATTTGTTTAGGCCTAACTTTTTGGTACTTTTTCAAACGTGACGGTCCATAGGCAGTGAAGTAGAGTTCACCTGTTTCTGTGACATTGGCATATGAAGGGACAGTGTGGACATCACTATGCCCATCTGCCTTTACTCTTCCCTTACGTCGTATAGGTACCCATCAGAGCTGGGTGGACTCAGGGACGTTATACTGACTTGTGTCAAATTTCAGCTCAATCGTACAATGGGACGTGAGTTAAATTAATATACCAAAAATTGTGGAGCTACACACACACACACACACACACACACACACACACACATATATATATATATATATATATATATATATATATATATATATATATATATATATATATATATATATATATATATATATATATATACACACAGACACACACACATACACGCACATAATTAGTGAGTCAAATAAAAGCCGTTAACTTCAATTTTTGCGACAGAAACTGCCAGTCATGGTGTCATGGGGTAGACCTAGTGTTTAATCAATATTGATATACAATCTGTTCTATGTACATAAAAGTTGACCTGTATCTTGTTTTGTACCTAACAGATACTATGAGCAGGCTGACAAAACTGAAGCGATGTACGTATCTAATCATTCTTCTGACGGCTTGGATACTCATTGTTCTTTACATTCAAAGCAAGTACTGATAGCGTTATTTAAATTTAATCAACTCTGGTTGAATGCTGTTGTTTTTATTTGAAAATAAAGTCGGATTGCTCCAGCATTTCAATTTTATTTAATAACACAACGCTCCGTATAACAAAAGAAAAATTTTAATTGTCATTTCAAATGCAACTTATTTAGTAAATTATTTGATCTTTCTAATTAAAACTATTTTTAAAGTAACATATTAATGCTTTTTACTTTCTCGTATATACGAAGTATAGAGAAAGTCTTGTAATCGTGCAAAAAAAAAAAATCGAGATTTTTACAAATCTCGACGTTTCACACCTCACTGATACGGAAAAACATAATTTTGCAATCTTGTCCGTATGTCTGTGTGTCTGTCTGTGTGTCTGTGTGTCTGTGTGTCTGTCTGTCCGTGTGTAAACACGATAACTTGAGAACCGTTACAGCTAGGTTGATGAAATTTCATATATAAGTATTTTATCAAAATCGTAGATCCGTATCAACTTTTGAGCGATTTCCGATAACCGGAAGTGGTACTTTTCCTACTTTGAATTTTTCAAAAGCCTATAACTTGAGTACTATTTCAGATAGATAAATGAAATTTCATACGTAAGTAAAAGATCTAATTCTCTACCTTCTATTAAATTTTGAGTCATTTCCGTTGACTGGAAGTAGTACTTTACGCTACTTCCGATTTCTCAAAAAACTAATGTAAATTTTAAAAGTAATAATAATATTGCGCACCATTATGCGCTTTTTTATTTGGCGTTCACTTGGTGTGCAATTAATTTGTCTACGAGATTTTATTCTTTTTTTAAAACTTTAAGTATTTAAAATGGATTAAAAATCATGTCTATAGCCCGAGTTCCCATCCCCTGTTATTTTATACGAGAAAAATGGCCCGTTGAGGAAGGATACACCGGGCGCTAGGCTGATAGTGCTGTCTCTTTTCTCTAAACTAAAACCACCCCCCACCCCCACACCCCCCCACCCACCCCACACCCCCACACACCCCACCCCCCACCCCCCCACCCCCTCACACACCACCCCCCCACCCACCCACACACCCCCCCCCCCCCCCCCCCCCCCCCCCTAAAAACATGTCTACCGTCCCATTCAACGAAATATAATTATTTACTTTTTCCAGTGTCCGCCCCCTCCCCGAAAATTCTACCCCCCGCCCCCGAAAATTTCAAGTACCCTCACCCCTCTCCGTGGAGGAAAAAGTCTGAAAGAAACACTGGTGTCGCGCATAGCCACTACGCGAAGAATTGCATTAAAGAAATTGCAAGAAAACCATTTTTTAGATTAGACACATTAATTAGGCGGTAATTTTATTATAGAGTATCGATGAGGAAGTTTCTTTTGAGTTGGGGAGAGGGGGGGGGGGGCTCAGACGTTCTTACGCGGGGGTGGGGCTTCGCCCCTACCCGAAGAATTGTATGAAAGAAACTTCACGCAAACCACTTAGATTAGACCAAATTAGACCAAATCAATGACGTCATATCAATGTGTGCACTATCCGGCTTGAGATTATTTTCTACTCTGTGCGCTAAATGTGTCGACGTCATACTTCGTTTTTCGAAATACTATGCATGTTTTTATTTTCCTTGTGTTTTCTCTAGAGCGTTCTTGTCAGACAGATAGATAGATAGATAGACAGACAGCGAAACTATTAGTATTAATAAGAATATTCGAGAAAGTTTAGGGGAGATCACTCCCGGTTTATTATTAAAACGTAGAAATTAAAAAAAAAATACTTTGTATAGTCGGTAAATATATTGACCAGGTTATATTTTAAAAGGCAAACTTTGTATAGTCGGTAAGTATATTGACCAGAATATATTTTGAAAAAATACTCTGTATAGTCGGTAAATATATTGACCAGAATATATTTTTAAATTGACGGCGTGGTTGAGTGGTAGAGCACTTGACTGCTAGCCCGAAGGTCACGAGTCCGGATGTTGGTTCAAACTTGTGACTCTGAGTCCACGCAGCTCTGATGGGTACCTAACTCACATTGGGGAAAGTAGAGGCGGCTGGGCATAGTGGTGAACACTACATACTTTCACATGCCGACGTCAAGAAACCTGGAATTCTACTTCTTGTCTTAAAGGGGAACTTTACTTTTATCTTTTTAAAAATACTTTGTTTACGACGGTAAAATATTGACCTCATTCTACTTTTTTAAATACTTTGTTAGGTGCGGTAAAATATTGACCTGATTCTACTTTTTTAAATACTTTGTTAAGTGCGGTAAAATATTGACCTGATTCTACTTTTTTAAATACTTTGTTTAGTGTGATAAAATATTGACCTGATTTCTTCCAGACAATACCGTTTTTACATGGCGCATAGAGAGGCCACCCGACATCAAAGAGCGTGACCTAGATACCGACGCCAGCTCCACCCAGCCAAGACTCGACTTGAGACAGGAACCAAACTCTGAGACGGTGCCCGACGCTGAGGAGGGCCAACATCCCTACGACCAGAACTTGAATAAAAAACCAGATTCCCCTCACAAAGCTTCAGGTCTTGACCAAAACAGCTTAGAGTACATCTTTCAAGACTCGCTCACCCACAAAGAGTTCCACGATGTTGAGCACTTCTCCCTCGCGTACATACAACCCAACCAAAGCAGCACGACGGCAACTGCCAGCAAACACTTGGAGAACATCAACCAGCTGGTGGAACAACTGGATAGGGCCAAGTTTTGGATGAATAAGAACAAAACCTTGTCGGAGCCTCAGCACAAGGCGGCAGACCAAACAGGCCCCTTGACGGAGCCTCAGCACAAGGCCGCAGACCAAACAGTGCCCAAACACAAACCGTTTCCCGCCGCCAGAGCCAAGCGACCTGCTGCAACCGCCACCAAAAAGACTTCTCATTTTAACGTGTGTGAGTAGGTTTAAACATTTGTCTACATAGCGTAACCGTAGCAAAAAAAATCTTTAGTGATATCACTACTGATTTTTTTTCTATACACCAAAATTCATATCATAACATGGATTACCAAAACAAAATAGCTTAAATTTTAAAACTTTTCTGGTGATGTAGGTTATAGTTCTTAAATTGATTTCGTTTACTAGATTTAATCCAATTTTTTTTAGAAGTCCTACTCCAATCCATGTCACTTCCCTCCAAATAGTTACTATGCTACAGAGTGTACAATAACGTAATATTACCTTAAAAACACCCATAAAATCATATAAACTCGCATATATTTTAATGTTGTTTTTTTTTCAGTTATGGATAAATGGCAGAAATGGATGGACGAGAAAGAATATTTTAAAGGTAATTAAACAAAACATGGGACTACGTGGTCTAGCGATATAGAGCTAGAATGTTAACCAGAGTTCGAATCAGGGTTTAAGCCAATGGAAAGTCTGTGAGTCCACTCAGCCCTGATGGGTACCTAACTCACATTAGGGAAAGTAAAGGCGGCTGGGCATAGTGCTAGCAACATTATCCTTTCATATGCCGAGGTCAAGAAACATATGAACTCTACTTCATCTGCCCAACGGATCGCTAGGTCAAAAGAGGAATCTTTACTCTAAACAAAATACCAAAAATAATTATAAGTGCAACAAAGATCTTGTTTTAACCTAAATAAACTGCTCTCTCCACAGCCACCAATCAGCGAACAGCCTCAACAACCAATCAAAAGCTGGTTATCATGACCTACATGCGCAGTGGTTCGAGTTTTACCGGAGACCTGTTTCAGCAGAACCCAGAAGTGTTCTACGTGTACGAGCCCCTGTGGTTCACAGAGAGGATCCAAAGTTCCAACGTTACTGACAAGAAATTCTACTTCCTCAACAGCATCAATAAGTAGGTACACAAAGTCTAACTATTAACAAAAACTCTTCTTCCTCAACACCCTCAATAAGTAAGTAGGCCTACACAATTTAACTATTGACAAAAACGCTACTTCCTCAACATCCTCAATAAGTAAGTAGGCCTACACAATTTAACTATCTACAAAAACTCTACGTCCTTACACCCAGTGTTTCTTCCAGACTTTTTCCCCCCGGGGGGGGGGGGGGGGGGTGGGGCACTAGAAATTTTCGGGGGTGGGGGGGGGGCGGTAGACTTTCTTCGGGGGGGAGGGGCGGACACTGTTAAAAGTATATATTTTCTATATAAATTATATAAATTTCATTTCGTTCGGGGGGGGGGGGGGCGGTAAAAAAAAATTTCGGGGGGGGGGGGGGGGGGGGGGCTTACCCCCCCCCCCCCCCCGAAGAGATGCCTGGAAGAAACTCTGCTTACACCCTGAATAAGTTGGTGCACAATTTATTTGCTGTCAAAAACTCTACTTCCTCTATTTTAAGTTTGTATACCATGTCTAGATATTCTGTAGAATTCTTCGTTTTCATACATTGCCGTTGACATACATAATAGAAGAATGTATGTTGATGTGTGTTGCCTCACGTGATTCATTTTCTACCTCAGTGCGCTAAACACAGGAGAGTTCTACAGCCAGAGAAGGCTGCAAGTAATGCAGGACGTCTTAAACTGTAGATTGGAAAACTTAGATATTGGCACTCTGAAGGTAAGCTGACTTGAATATTGACACTCTGAAGGTAAGCTGACTTAAATATTGACACTCTGAAGGTAAGCTGACTTAAACATTGGCACTCTGAAGGTAAGCTGACTTAATATTGGCACTCTGAAGGTAAGCTGACTTAAATATTGGCACTCTGAAAGTAAGCTGACTTAAACATTGGCACTCTAATCTGACCGTTATATTGGCACTCTGAAGGTAAGCCTGACTTGAATATTGGCACCCTGACTTGAATATTGGTACCATCAGAGTAAGTTGACTTAACGACTCTCACCCTAAGATAGACTATTTAGTACTTCGACCTCAAGGTAGGTTGACTTAGATGCTGTCACCCTTAACCTTGAAGGTAAAATAAATACTTTCACTCACAAGGTATTTTGACTTAGCGACTCAAGGTAAGTTAAATTATAGACTATATATATTGATCACTTTAAGGGCTTATATTTTTCATCAACCTTTGACGTAGAACTCCAAATCTTCAACGTATAATACAACAAACCTATGCCACTCGAACATTGAGCTAAGTGTTAACTACCATTTCTTAAAGTGAACAGAGCTACCTTGTGATATCTAGTCCTCGAATTACAAAGGCGCATTCATGTCGTTGTTTGCGTAATGAAACACCCCCATTACAAATCATTGCTAATGTTTTCTTTATTATCCACAGCAATACCATATGTTTAGTAGTGTATCAACATTTGGATATGCCCTGTGTGCCTACAATGCTTCAAGTAAGTGGAAGATAAGTTTAAACATATATGTGTGTATGTGTGTTATATAATTACGAGAAATGTGGGATCTTGTCTAGATAAGAACGCTAAAAAGTTAACCCCCGCCACCCTAGAAGATAATAAAAGAGAGGATATAAAACTTATACTTTTAGTGTTTAACACTAACCCAACCCAACCCTAACGGGGGATAAAGAGTTTTTATGGCGTACGTCTAAATATTCAAATATCTAGACATCAGAAATAGGTCAAGGTCGCGTGTGTGCATTAAATTGTTGTTGACAAAAAGTGGCGGGATTTAACTTTTCGCTTGTGCACTTTTTGATTTAGTGGCGGGGCTTATCTGGACAAGCTCAAACGTGATACAGTAAATAAAATGTTGCCTTGGGCGTGCCCAGCGGCAGTTATATTACACTATATATATATATATATATATATATACATATATATATATATATATATATATATATATATATATATATATATATATATATATATATATATATATATATATATATATATATATATATATATATATATATATATATATATATATATATGTAACGAGCGAACAGTTACCCTGCTCGCAACGCCACATGTTACGAGATTATTTGCCTGTAGTGCCAAATGTAACGAGTTTAACCACTCATTCTACACAACATCGACTACAGTAGAAATACTCGAAGATGCAGGTTCGCTATTGATCCTTTTATTACATGAATCAAGAAATGCTTCAAAATAACACAATGAATCAACAGGAATGCTTCACAATAATAGTCTGAATCAACTGACCCCTAACAGTCCTCACTAGGCTTCATATAACTGAATCCACATGTCTATCGTCCTTCTTAACACAATACGGCTAACCCGTTCTATCTCCAACTTGATATATCACACAGACTGACTGATCTAAAGCGAGCGATGAAGAGAGTGCGAGCGATCGAAAGAGAGCGAGCGATCGAAAGAGAGCGAGCGATCGAAAAAAGGGCGAGTTCAGCCGTCCCCTCCTATTTATCCCTTGTATTCGTACTCGTATTCGTACTTGTATTCCTCCGTAATCGATATTTGTACTCGATGTCTCCGACTACTAGTTGCGCAGTTCTAACGTACAGCCCGATTAATAAAACATCTGCATCCTATCAATCAAAGTTGACAGGCCGTCTGAATCCCCTCGTACCGTTTCCCAAAATAGCACGCGTTGGCTTTGAGATTGTTATCAGTCCGATTTAATAAGCCACCTGCTATCAGTTGCATCAGACTGTAATACTGCGTCGCGGCTTATCGTTCGTTATCAGTTGCATCAGATTGTAACTAGTAGCTAGGCCTACCCTAGTTACATCCACCCCTGCCTTTTTTTGTGTGTTTTCAACCACAAACAACAGTTGGCAGGTGCACTCCTCCAAAGTCAATCGCACAATCGTAAAAAATTTTTTATTGTTCCACTCACTGTCCACGTCGTCCCATTCGTATACGATTGACAGTTATACCTATTTCACATATCCACTGTGTCTACATCATCTTCCTGAGACACAAAACAGTTCTAGAATTCACATCCACCCTTTTCGTTTGGTGCCTTCACCAGTTCACTTTTATAGCTTTTTGAACAGTCTGTTCTCATACCAGCGCGACCATGAAAGAATTGATGGTTGCTGACAAAAAATTTCGTCTTCCTTCTGTTCCTCAAACTTCTCCGCGGACCACTTATCTGATGGTCTACTGTCTCTCTGCTTCTGGAAGGAACGGGATCCTCTTTGTTGCCGTTATCCTCCACTTGTGTATCGCGGTTGTTCTGTTGATGGTGATATGGTTCCGGGATGGGTATGTGAATTTCCGTTGTAACTTCCGGTCCCCTAATTGTCTTAGGTTTCTCTGTGTGTAACTGCTCTTCTTGCCTATTCCAATATTTCTTTAATTGAGCAATATTCGCCCACCGATCCGGTTTGGCGTGATCGATGGGTCTTATCTTAAAGGGGCCACCTGCTACTTTAGGCATCTCCACGACTTGCCATATCTCCTGTCCCCAGAGATCGTGGATTTTGTTTCTGCCTAACGGGTGGCTACGCAGTAATACCCTGTCGTTCAGTTTGAGTGGCGGGTCCTTTGTCTGTACCGGCGGTTCCCTTCGCCGTGCTTCATGTTCTAGTCTTTCCTGTACTACCCTGTACATTTCTCTAATTCTTCTCATATGTTCATTCACATATTCCAGTGCGGTGTATGAGCCAGTCATACTCTCCCTTTTTCCTAGGAACAAATCAAGAGGGAGTCGAGCCTCCCGTCCGAACAGCAACATGTGTGGCGCAAAGCCGGTTGTGGCATGGGGGGTGCAGTTGTATAGATATACCAACTCTGGGAGAAAATCCGGCCAACGTTTTTTCTGTTCAGGTTCTAGGGTACGCAGCAAATCATGCATGCTGCGATTGAACCGTTCACACTGTCCGTTTCCTTTCGGATTAAATGTGGTTGTTCTAGATTTGTTGATCCCGTAGTGGCTGCACAGTTGGTTAATTACTTCTGACTCGAAAGCCCTTCCTTGGTCAGAGTGTAATTGTCTTGGTATGCCATATTTGATGAACCAATGTTCTATTAAGACCTTTGCCACTGTTTTGGCAGTCTGATCTCGTGTGGGCACCGCCACAGTCCATTTGGTGAATACATCAGTCATTACCAACACATGTTCCGTCCCATCCGATGATTGCTCCAACGACGTAAAGTCCATAGCCACAATCTCTAGTGGTTTTGTCGCTAGTAGGTGTCCTGATGGCTGTCTCATTTTGACAACTGGCATTTTCGCATGCTGACACCTCACACAAGCCTCACAATGGCGTTTGACCTCCATTTCCATATTGGGCCAGTAACACCTCCGTCGTAATATTTTGTGCGTCCTGTCCTGACCCTGGTGTCCTGCCCTGTCATGTGCCAACCTTAGCACTTCTTCTCGTAACTGTCCAGGCACCACCACCTGGTGTATTGTCCCATCAATTTGGTCATGAATTCTCCGCATGAGAACACCATCCTCTATACTGAGACGGTCCCACTGACTCAGTATTTTCTTTGTTTCTCGACCAAATTGTTCTCTTTCCCTTCTTCCTGGGAATTTTTGTTCCTGGACGTATTTCAATAGCGGTTGTAAGCCACTATCCGTTCTCTGGGCATCTCTTATCTTTTTGTGATTAAGGCAATTAAAATCACTACTGTCCATATGTCCGGGCTCTGTGGATATGTGCTCCACCCCGGTCTGCCCGTTTTGCATCACTTGTACCCCATGAGGGATATCTGTTGACGCTCTGACCTCACATATTCCTGTCAGCGTTTCTTCCTCATCGCCCGGTCTCTCGTAAGGATTCCTTGATAAGGCGTCCGCATTGCCATTGGACCGCCCCGGGCGATATTTGATCTCTAGGTCAAAGAGTGCCAATTCTGCTGCCCATCGCTGTTCGATGGATCCCAGCCTTGCTGTAATTTGAAGTTCTTTTTCAATATCTGATAATTTTTCTTCAAGTCTTGTTTGAGACTCTTTCATTTCTTCTAGTTTGCCAACACTGTTCTGTTGTCTACTATTTTTATTTTCTTCTTCAGATAACAGACACTCTAAAGATGAACATTTCTCCTGTGCTTTTAATTTGCATGAACTTTCCCTATCCAGTTTCCTGGTTAACATTGAGATCTCATTCTTAAGTCTACCCATTTCTTCCTTATCATCATTTTTCTTAGCCAACAAATTGTTCACTTGAAACTTTTCAACATTCAAGTTCATTTCACAGTTCATTTTTTCCATATCGGATAATTTCTCTTCGAGTCTTGTTTGAGACTCTTTCATTGTTTGTCCCCTTTTGTTTCTTACGCCATAACCTCGCCGCTCTGTAGCCTTGACCTGCCCTACAGAGAGCGATCGTCTCACCGGACAGTGTTGTGCCATATGTCCGGGTTGTGAGCGGGACAGGCAAATTGGTCGACCATCAGCCGTCCACCGGAGCGATGGACCGGCGGGTCGCGGTTGTCCAACCCGTCTCTGTTTTGTCCCGTTTTTGTCCTGATTCTCTGCTGTTGGCCTGCTTTCTAACCTCTCCAATCGTTGGTCAACCTTATGCAGGTGGGCCAACAGTTGAGCCATCATGGTTTCCATCGTGCCGGTCCCTGTGGGTGGGGATTGTTTCCGTTCCGGCACAGAGACTTTGTCTACCGAACAGTTCGATTGGTCCTCATTCTCGGACCTGCGGATCGCTGAGTTCCTGACCTGAAGGAAGGTCAACTGCGGGTCTTTGTGGACCTCCTCTTTCAACTCTCTTCTTAAGATCGGGGTTGCTAGCCCCTCGATGAAATGGTCCCTCAGTAGGCGCACATCAATGTCAGGTGTTTTGCCCTTTACCGAATCAAAGGCCCTGTTCATCCGGTGTGAGTACTCCATCACACTCTCTGCCATTCTCTGCCTTAAGCCTACGAACCCTGATAGCAGTTGCGATCCCGACCGTCTCTCCCCAAAGGTCTCCATAATCAGATCCAGCACCTTATCTGGATCTGATTGGATGGTTTTATCGTGGCATTTGACCTCTGCCCTAACCGTCTCTCCTATACTTCCCATCAGCAGTCTTAATCTTTCCTCTGGTGACATGTATCTTGAGGCCCAGGCAGCCCTGACCTCTTCACTGAACCTGTTGGTTAAGGTTGGATCACCGTCCCCGTAAAATTTGTTGATGTGGGACTCACTGGGCAGGACCACAATATGGATCGGCTTTTTGTCCACATTTTGTCCTGGTCCATCTGGAGGCAAAGGGTCATCTTTACCGTTGCCTATCTTATCTGACTCAGATTGTTGGGCCAGCAGGAGTTTTTGTTCCTTTCCGATATCTAAAATATCACTCCCGCGTCTGCCACTCACACCAAGGAAAAATGTTGCAGCTATGCAGCAGATAGTGTTGCCCAAAAGGGAGATCATGACACATTTCCAGTGTCCAAGAGTTACATCCATATCTTGGTTGCCATCTTTGCCCAGTATTTGTCCAACAACCCAGTTGGAGATACCAATGACAATTATCTGGATGCTGGTGGTCAGCCCCATGGCTGTCCCCAGGGTAGTTGGTGCTACAACTAGGGGTATACTGAGCCACATGCTTGCAGCAGCAAAAGAGCATGTGACACCAAGCCAGAATGATAATGAAAGGTGTCTCATCTCTGTTCTTTTCAATTTCCTCGATTCTGATTTCAGTTTTCCCTTTTATTTATTTCCTTCAAATAAAAAAAGACGTTTCTTACCGTGTGTGTATGAAAAATTTTCCTCGTTCCTCAATTTTCACAGTTCCTGAATGTCCGAATTCACACACACACACAAAACACAGTTATGAACTAGGTTGACTATGGGTGCCTAAAGCGGCAAGTCTAGTTGAATTCATCCTGTCCGACGACGCCAATTGTAACGAGCGAACAGTTACCCTGCTCGCAACGCCACATGTTACGAGATTATTTGCCTGTAGTGCCAAATGTAACGAGTTTAACCACTCATTCTACACAACATCGACTACAGTAGAAATACTCGAAGATGCAGGTTCGCTATTGATCCTTTTATTACATGAATCAAGAAATGCTTCAAAATAACACAATGAATCAACAGGAATGCTTCACAATAATAGTCTGAATCAACTGACCCCTAACAGTCCTCACTAGGCTTCATATAACTGAATCCACATGTCTATCGTCCTTCTTAACACAATACGGCTAACCCGTTCTATCTCCAACTTGATATATCACACAGACTGACTGATCTAAAGCGAGCGATGAAGAGAGTGCGAGCGATCGAAAGAGAGCGAGCGATCGAAAGAGAGCGAGCGATCGAAAAAAAGGCGAGTTCAGCCGTCCCCTCCTATTTATCCCTTGTATTCGTACTCGTATTCGTACTTGTATTCCTCCGTAATCGATATTTGTACTCGATGTCTCCGACTACTAGTTGCGCAGTTCTAACGTACAGCCCGATTAATAAAACATCTGCATCCTATCAATCAAAGTTGACAGGCCGTCTGAATCCCCTCGTACCGTTTCCCAAAATAGCACGCGTTGGCTTTGAGATTGTTATCAGTCCGATTTAATAAGCCACCTGCTATCAGTTGCATCAGACTGTAATACTGCGTCGCGGCTTATCGTTCGTTATCAGTTGCATCAGATTGTAACTAGTAGCTAGGCCTACCCTAGTTACATATATATATATATATATATATATATATATATATATATATATATATATATATATATATATATATATATAGCGTGTATACATTGTGATATCCTCTACCTTATCTAATTATGAACAACTTTTTTCACCAGAACCGACCAAGAGTATGATCTATGATCTAACCAAACAAGGTGAGTAGTTCTGGTGTGTTGGTTGTGTGGAGTGAAAATGTATTCGTTGCTTACATGCCCAAGACCCTTGGAGTAAAATTTCAGGGGGGGGGAGGGGGACGGACGGACGACGACACACTGGTAAAAGTAAATATTTTCTATATAAATTCCATTTCGTTCGGTTGACTGGAAGAAACTGATTTTTACCGTACGTTTTTTCCTTTCTGTGTTAAACGTATGTTTTCCCCATCATATTTTACCGAATGCTTTTTCGTTTCTATTTTCACCGTATATATTCCCCTGGTGTATTATACCTGTTGTTTTTCTCCCACAGAGTTCGAGAAACTTCGAGAGTGTCTCGGCGGGATACGCACCGAGTGTCACCAGACAAACTACCTGGTGGTCAAGGTCATCCGCCTGACCATGCTGGAACTGGGTCAACTGATGGACCTTGACCCCGACTTCAAGGTGCTGTACCTGGTTCGAGACCCCCGTGGGACTGTCAAGTCACAATACCAGGTCGGCATGTTCAACTGGACCACGCTAATGAACTATTCCAAGGGGTTCTGCCAAAAGGTAGCAGACGATATCCGGGTTTATCACGAGCTCTATACAAAATACCCCGGTCGGATGTTAAACGTTCGCTACGAGGATATTGTAGAGCAGCCCCTTCAAAAAACAAAAGAACTCTACAGTTTTTTACAATTAAAATTCACTCCTTATATTCAAGAATATATTTGGAATATCACATACGCCGGGAATCAGGATGATTGTAATATTTGTACGACGCGTAAAAATGCGAAAGAGACCGCTTACGCTTGGAGAAAAAGATTGAGCTATGCTGCAGTAAATGCGATTCAATCTCAGTGCTCTGACGTCATGCAGCATTTCGGTTATCGGCCCCTAAAACCCCAAGAGTTATTGGACTTTGATATTTCTTCATCATTTGTGGACTTAGGCGGGCAGAGAATATTTAAATGAAACATGAAAGGATTTTTATTTTAAACTGGATATAGCCTGTAATGATTAGGGGCCCATTACTTCTCTGTGATAAGCAACCTGTATTTTCTTAAAAAGATCCCTCTTTAAGAAAGAATGGCTGAGCATTTATATTACATTTTAAATGTCGAATGTTATAAAACCATGTTCATTCTATCGTTATTTAAAGGGTGGAGGTGTTGAGTGTTATGTACCAATTTTAAAGGGCAGGGTTAGTCTAGAATTGAGTGACGTAGGGGATGATTACAGGAATCGGTATTTAAAGCCTGATATCCTTATACGAATCCCTAGATAAACAATAATTCTAAAATGCTGAGTAAAGTTACACCAATCGTTTAATTCCAACCCCTTTGTAGAGTAATTTAATTCGATAACTATTAATACAAATAGGACCCAGGTGTGGGAAAGATGCGCTGTGGTGGGACTTTAAATTTTAATCTAGCCACTTATCAGCCTGAAACAGCAGCTCTTTAATATCTGGAGAGTAGTTCACGTATGTTGAACAGCATGGTAAATAGTTGATGTAAAGCATACCTAGCTTATGATTTTGTTAAAGTAAGCTACTTTGTTGATAATAATATTTGCTGTGTGCAATGTTCAGTTTTATGTAATGGTTACACAGGCAGGTGGCAGGATTTTATTGTTGAAGTGGAGGTACTATTCCCTCCCAACATATAGATATAATATATATAATTATGTGTGTATATATTCATGAATGCATATATATATATATATATTTCTATATCTATATATGTATATGTGTATATATAAATATAGAGGGATCGATATACCCATATATGCTTATATATATATATATATATATATGCCTTTATATTTAAGAATAATTTTAAGTGTGCAATAGTGATTTTATTACAATCAAAATTTTGTAACTAAAGTGAAATCATTTATAGCAAAACCAACACGCCTTTGCCAATAACTCAAATTGTATTTTAAAGTGAGACAGCTGCCATGTGCATATGCCACTGATTGTGTAAATCAAGTTTTTTTTTACAGATATTATTTGTTTTTTTTTTTGTTCTAATATTATAATCAGACCCAAATGAGTTTCTTGTTGCTTTGTAATTACGAGCCAGGTGGCGGTTTAACTTAGCACAGATGTTGACCTTTATAAAAACCACAGCATAAACAGTTATTGGGGGTGAAACACAGTCCTATAATGGCTACACTGAGACAGGACTGCCATAGTGGAAGACAGGAGGGGTCACAATAAAGCCAAATAAGACTCAAATGTCCACTAATCATAATTACTAATTAATCTGTGTAAGCTTATTATAATTTTTAAAAAAATATTACTTTTCAAAGTACTGATTTAGCTGTGGAGATTATTACAATTTTACAAAAAACATTGGTTGATAAATCTTTTTATCCAATTTTAAATGTCTCACTTTTACCCCCAACCCTGCACATTTGAGTGTGACGTCACTTATGGACAACATTTTATGGCAGTTTGTAGCCTGCGGGATACCAAACAGCAGTTATGTCAATCATTTAAATCTGCCCATACTCCCACCTCTACATACGTGGTCAATATTGAAATTTAATCAACAAGCAGCAATAACCAGTTCATTGTGTTTAAAGAAAATCAATTTTAATCCAATGTTTATAACATGTTGAATGAATGAACCTTGACCCTCAGTTTTGTTTTTGTAATGGACAGTGATACATGGAATTGGGAATCAAATACAAATCTTAATTTTTAAGAATGGCATATTATGTGAAATGTGAATTGACAAGCAAAATGAAAGTTGAATTAAGTATTAATGAATGCATAAATAAAACCAGAATTTGAGTATTAATGAAACAGACTTAATATTAATAAAAATCTGTATTGAAACCATAACCCTAAACATTTATCACTGGAGAATGTTTTCATTTGTTAGAGTTAGTGTCTTATGTTCAGTGTTCATTTTATTTGTTTTATCTATACAAAACTGTGATTTAAGATTACACTTTATATGTTATTTTTTTTAATATCTAAATAATAATAATATTCATTGTCTCAATTTTAAGGGTAAATTTGAATGATATTCACATTTTATGCATTTATATTAATTTAAATAAATAATATTTTAAGCTCAAATATATTGTTTGTTCTTTTCATTTCAACTCTATGATAATTATTTAGACATCTTAATCTTATATTTATAATACTTAATCTGAAAGTAAAATCTAAACTATTTTTATTTAAAATAAGAACCAAAATTAGGAAAAAGGTAAAGAGGTAGACAATAATTATGTATGTGGTTTGGCATATCTCATACTGTTTTCACAGTTGAAAAGATGAACTGGAAGTAACTTCTAAGGCTCCTGCAAATACCAATCCTGACACTGGTTTGTCAAATGTGTAGTAAATTGGGAGAAGGATTACTTCCCCACTGGTGTCATTTTACTAAGATGGGACATAAGCATCAGCTTGTTTATGTAGCACAATAAATATTATATTTGTAGTTAAGTCTTGAATGAAAATCTTTTTCAGATTTTTTAACCTATATAAAACATCTTTAATCTAACTCTTCAACTATAAAATCTTCATCAGATTTCTCAACGGACTGTTTCGTTTTTGTTTTCTTTTTCTTCGTAGGTCTATGAATCCACTTGTTTATTTCTTCAATAACCGAAACCTTATTCCCTTTCTGAAGCCGCTGCAGTGTGCAGATCCTGGAGTATTTTTCACTGAGTAGCGAGATGAAAAAATTGACCACTATAAAGTTTAACACCGTGAATAAAATGGTGATGTAGAGAGGGCCTGATACAGGGTAGGATTGCACCAGCAGCTTCATAAGGTTTTGGTTGAGCAGCATCCCTGTGACGGTAACCACCGAGTTGATCAGTGTGTTGAACTGTTCAAACTCTTTAAACAAAAACATGCCTAAAACGGCTGTACTGAGCAGAGCTAGCATAGGGACAAACACGATGGTTAAGGTTGGTGGGACTAACTCAAGGAATTGTGCCAGGGACTGCAAGTTGCTGGGGAAAAAAAATGTTGGAATTAAAAATTAAAGCAACAAATCTAACTGTGCTATGAAAATTGATCAGTTAAATCAGTCCTTTAATATTTTAGTTTCCTCTGATATTGATTTGTGAATAAAAATTTAAAATACAATTGTGACATTTTTTTCAATAAAATGTCCAATGGAATTTATTAGTCAGACTATAACTATTAAAAGGTCACAGCTATGTGTATTTTTAAAAATTATAACTTAAAAAAAAAATTGTATTAAATATTGATTACTGTAGTAAAAATATTTGATCAATACAATTAATATCAAGCCAAAATATTTTCTAAAATTAAATCATTTTTAAACATAATTTACAGCAGCTGTTTAAAGTATTTAAAAAAGTTGGAACTAAAAAAAAAGGAAAGGAGAACTTACGTAGCTTGAGAGAGAATTTTTAAATAACTTGTCACACTGAGTACACCACAGAAAAAAGTGATTTGATAGGCGATGGTTGAAACTTTGTTGAAGTTTATATAAACTTCTGCGTCTTTGTTGAAGAAGTAAATATTCTGGACATGTATGACCTGTAGGATAAATATTTCAACAAGAATTGTCAATAATAGTCTGATAAAGCAAGCATTCATACAGAAAATATGACAAACAACAGAAAGTTTTGATTAGAAAGTTTTAAAAAATTCTCTCGAGTGCATGTTTAAGTACAACATAGGTAATATAAAAACACAAACTTGCACTAGAGAGCAAACAAACTTGACCAGAAATTCTGGAACCTCCTCTGATGTTCTGGAATAAAAGAACTTGAACCAGAGGTTACTGACCTCAGACTTCCTGATGCTGTACTGAAGAATAAACAAAGTGATGACAACAACTGATGTGACCCTCTCAATTAAGTTCAGCCAGGCCATAGGACTCTGCAGATACTTGAGCACTCCTTTGTGATAAGCCTGTATAAGATAAGTAAATGTATAACCACCTTGCTACATGTAGGGCGTGGGGGGGATTAGAGCAATTAACGCACATTTAAACAAAAGGCCAATTGTTTCTGCTTCTTTTGATATTCAGTCTGCTTGCAATAATTAGCTAACAAAACAACCTTTATATTTATTTTTGACTAATTATTTTTTTTAAATTCTTCAGAAATTCTGAATTTGTTTGTTTTGGGTATAATAATGTTTTTTTTTTCTTTATCAAAATAATGATAAAGCTTCATAGAGGTTGTTAATTGTGAAATAAATTTGAGAATATAATTTTCAAATGAAATAATCCAGATCATAAAATCTCAACCTACAGACTAACAGGAATTATTGTGAATAAGATTGGTTGCTCTTATAAAAATAAATACTAAGCATCAAATTTGTAATAATAGTTTACTTATAGATTTCCTTTGGAGAAGGATTTAGAAAACGATTAGAAAACAAATACCTCATTGATCTCACGGTAGAGAAATATGATTGTAAAGATAGCCAAAATGAATCCACAAAATTGTAAAAAGAAGGTGCCCACTGGTTCAAAAAATAGAGGGAAGGAATAGACTTGCTGGGTGTCCTGGAATACTCCGACTGTAGATAGATCAAATACTTTAAACTGCTGAAACAGTTTGGCTACTTAATTATAGGCTACAACAGTTGAGAGATAAAGAAGTTTAAATTTTAGAAACAATTATGGTCTCAATTATAGGCTACTAAATTTTTGGGGAGACCACGCCTCTCTACATGTATTTTTAAAAACTTTTGAAGAAATATGTTGCTTAAAATCAATACTCGAGTGGACTAGCAAATAAATAAAACATTATTTTACCTTTTAATTTAACTTTGAAATGTTGAATTTTAAAAAAAAACACTTTAATAATGTCCATCAGAATTTTTTAATAAACAGTTTAGAACAACTTATAAAACATAAGTAAAAGGCTACATTAGAGAAAGTAAAATAGACCTTTAATTTCTGACTTACTAGCATTAAATTCATAGAAATGCACCACAGAGGTTAAAAGTTTGGTGTCCGCATTAAAAATGGCGAAGTCTACAGAAACAATTCTAGTCTTCTCATCCACCCAGTTCCTGCTTTTTAAGTAGTCTATCACACCTGGGGTCTCATCCCTCAAAGAAAACTGGGCGTCATAGCTGAAATTTTTTTTTAGTAGAAAATGTTTGAGGGATTGTTGTATGTTTCAGGTTAGGCTTCAATTTAAAGTGCCTAAAATATATAGATTAAAAAATAAATAAGAGAACAGAAAATATACATATTTATAAGTACAGTGAGCCATTAATGACCAAAAATATGTAAATTTATAAATGACTCATAAGTGAACCAATATAAAAAATGGCAAGCTTTTGTTTTGTTTTTAGGACAGACTCTGACTTTCCTTAACAATAACTGTATTTTGAATAATATTTCACCTGTGTAGGTATGATATTAAGGTTACTTTCCACCTGTGTAGGTATATTTAGATTACCTTCTACCTGTGTAGGTATGATATTTAGATTACCTTCCACCTGTGTAGGTATGGTATTTAGATTACTTTCCACCTGTGTAGGTATATTTAGATTACCTTCCACCTGTGTAGGTATGATATTTAGATTACTTTCCACCTGTGTAGGTATATTTAGATTACCTTCCACCTGTGTAGGTATGATATTTAGATTACCTTCCACCTGTGTAGGTATGGTATTTAGATTACTTTCCACCTGTGTAGGTATATTTAGATTACCTTCCACCTGTGTAGGTATATTTAGATTACCTTCCACCTGTGTAGGTATGGTATATAGATTACCTTCCAACTGTGTAGGTATAGTATTTAGATTACCTTCCACCTGTGTAGGTATGATATTTAGATTACTTTACACCTGTGTAGGTATGGTATTTAGATTACCTTCCACCTGTGTAGGTATGATATTTGGATTACCTTCCACCTGTGTAGGTATGGTATTTAGATTACCTTCCACCTGTGTAGGTATGATATTTAGATTACTTTACACCTGTGTAGGTATGATATTTGGATTACCTTCCACCTATGTAGGTATGATACTTGGATTACCTTCCACTTGTGTTAGTATGATATATAGATTACCTTCCACCTGTGTAGGTATGATATATAGATTACCTTCCACCTGTGTAGGTATGATATTTAGATTACCTTACACCTGTGTAGGTATGATATTTGGATTACCTTCCACCTGTGTAGGTATGATATTTAGATTACCTTCCACCTGTGTAGGTATGATATTTAGATTACCTTCCACTTGTGTTAGTATGATATATAGATTACCTTACACCTGTGTAGGTATGATATTTGGATTACCTTCCACCTGTGTAGGTATGATATTTAGATTACCTTCCACCTGTGTAGGTATGATATTTGGATTGAAATGCATCCCCCGTCTGGTAAACAAACGGCCTCTGTCCAACTTTACGTGTTGTTACTTTATCCCAGGATAATACGAAATCTCTATTCTCTAGAATTTGAAAAAATCATAAATCATGTAATGTATTACACATATATTTTAAAATAAAAAATAATTTTTCTTTAATGGGTATTCAAAAGCAGTTAGTTAATTATAATATGCACCCTGTTACTGTGCATGCAAACTAAAAATCATTTTAAAGCTTGCAAACTTTCTGTAAGACAATAGAAACTAGCAGTTAAAAATCAGATCTACTATACATACCAGCTGCGACCTCTTCTATATCTGGGTGGCATCTTAACTTTATTGGAAGGTTGGATTCACATTTGCCTTTTTGGAAGATAATTATTTAAATTATAAATATATTTTCTGTTATAAAATATTTTTTTACGTAAACTATTATTTTAAAATGGTACATATAAATAATGTTTGCTACAATTTTTAAAAATAGTTTTCTAAGAAGACCTTAACAGAACACTTTGTAAAAAAAAACTATACATTTGCATAAGGTAAAAATGTGGAAAGAATTGCAAAAAAAAAACTCCATTCAATGTCCCACCTGTATCATCTCTGACCCGTATCTGGCGTAGTTTGATATTTGACACAGCTTTGAGTGTTGAGGTCGTGTTAATGTCAGACAGATACCAGTGTGGTTTCAAGAAAAATTGCTCCCGTAGGTGTTTCCAAAACTCATTTACAGTAATGCCCTAAACTCAATATAATTTTTATTTTTAACAATATTTCTGTGCTGGTATGCGTGTAGGTTATATTACATACAATCATTTTACTCAGTACATTGTATTTACTATTGTTTCAGAACCTTACTTATTTAAGGAGAGAGATTTCAAACATTTTAAATACAATTTTTTACACCAACAGTCTCATATAGTTGTGAAAATAGTGTTTTTAAAAAGATATTGTATTTTGAAAAAATCATATTTTCTTTTTTTAGTGCATTTATAAAAAAGACAACTTTTTAACGGTTCTTTTTAATATTTGGTTTTCAATCTTACTTTGAAGGCCTATTGTATCAGAGTTTTAAAGATTTAAAATAATGCATAAATCTATTGGGTTTCTCAATTATTTTTTACACATACCATTTCTGTATGACAAGATAATATTACATTTATGAAATAGCCATACAACTACTTAAGAAAAAACCTGTTAAGTTATGGGCTATTGTAAGTTTTTTTATGCTCTTAACAAAATCAAGGTTAAATTGTAAAATTTGCACCAGGACCATGATTTGGGTCAGGGCTAGAAGCAAACAAAGATTAAATCAATTCAGAATTGAAAGAAAATTGAAAGAAAAGAGAATTTTAAGGTCAGACACCACAAAAAAATTTAATGTATTATTTAGAATGTTTCTCAATGTTTTATGAATCCATATGTTATTAGTATTGATTATAGACCAAAAAAAAAAGTACAGAATCTCAATTAGCAGTTTTGGTTGCCATAGAGAGCACACAAATAAAAAATTGTGAGAATGAAAGAAACCCTACCTGTTTTAACTCTTGCTCTATCCGGCCCACTTTGAGCATGGTTCGCATGAATTTACTCTGCAGATAGCGGTTCCTGACGTTGCCACTCTGGACGTTGACTATGATGAGGACCACCAGGATGAAACAAACCATCCAGGCTGTTTCATTGCCAGAGCTCTTCTTCTCTGTCTCCCTCTGACTGCTGCCTGCCTTATGAAACTGAAAAAACAAGAATTGTTGGAATAGACATCTGAATTAAAATTAGTAATATTCATGTAGGTTGGATACATCAAACAGGTTTAATTAGGGAATGTTTATAGTGAATTCAATAATTTAGATGAAGAATATTTACAAGCATAAAATTAAAATGTTTAAACAATTTCTAAGCAAAATTTACAAAGAAAACAAATGACATGATTACATTTTGTGTAAGTGTAAGTAGGCCTTGAAGCTAAATAATAGCATTGGATAAAACATTTGTTGAGGGTATAAATTGTTCAATGGGTTAGAAAGGGGTTCAATTGGGTAGACAAAGGGGTTCAATAGGGTGGACAGGGTTTCAATAGGGTAGACAATGGGGAGGACAGGGGTTCAATAGGGTGGACAGGGGTTCAATGGGGTAGACAATGGGGTTCAATAGGGTGGACAGGGGTTCAATAGGGTGGACAGGGGTTCAATGGGGAGGACAGGGGTTCAATAGGGTGGACAGGGGTTCAATGGGGTAGACAATGGGGTTCAATAGGGTGGACAGGGGTTCAATAGGGTGGACAGGGGTTCAATGGGGTGGACAGGGGTTCAATAGGGTGGACAGGGGTTCAATGGGGTAGACAATGGGGTTCAATAGTGTGGACAGGGGTTCAATAGGGTGGACAGGGGTTCAATAGGGTGGACAGGGGTTCAATGGGGTAGACAATGGGGTTCAATGGGGTAGACAGGGGTTCAATAGGGTGGACAGGGGTTCAATAGGGTAGACAAAGGGGTTCAATAGGGTGGACAGGGGTTCAATAGGGTGGACAGGGGTTCAATGGGGTAGACAAAGGGGTTCAATGGGGAGGACAGGGGTTCAATAGGGTGGACAGGGGTTCAATGGGGTAGACAATGGGGTTCAATAGGGTGGACAGGGGTTCAATAGGGTGGACAGGGGTTCAATGGGGTAGACAATGGGGTTCAATAGGGTGGACAGGGGTTCAATAGGGTGGACAGGGGTTCAATGGGGTAGACAATGGGGTTCAATAGGGTGGACAGGGGTTCAATAGGGTGGACAGGGGTTCAATAGGGTGGACAGGGGTTCAATGGGGTAGACAATGGGGTTCAATAGGGTAGACAATGGGGTTCAATGGGGTGGACAGGGGTTCAATAGGGTAGACAATGGGGTTCAATGGGGTAGACAATGGGGTTCAATAGGGTGGACATGGGTTCAATGGGGTAGACAATGGGGTTCAATAGGGTGGACAGGGGTTCAATAGGGTAGACAAAGGGGTTCAATAGGGTGGACAGGGGTTCAATAGGGTAGACAATGGGGTTCAATGGGGTAGACAGGGGTTCAATAGGGTGGACATGGGTTCAATGGGGTAGACAATGGGGTTCAATAGGGTGGACAGGGGTTCAATAGGGTGGACAGGGGTTCAATGGGGTAGACAATGGGGTTCAATAGGGTGGACAGGGGTTCAATGGGGTAGACAATGGGGTTCAATGGGGTGGACAGGGGTTCAATAGGGTGGACAGGGGTTCAATAGGGTGGACAGGGGTTCAATAGGGTGGACAGGGGTTCAATGGGGTAGACAATGGGGTTCAATAGGGTGGACAGGGGTTCAATAGGGTGGACAGGGGTTCAATAGGGTGGACAGGGGTTCAATGGGGTAGACAATGGGGTTCAATAGGGTAGACAATGGGGTTCAATGGGGTGGACAGGGGTTCAATAGGGTAGACAATGGGGTTCAATGGGGTAGACAATGGGGTTCAATAGGGTGGACATGGGTTCAATGGGGTAGACAATGGGGTTCAATAGGGTGGACAGGGGTTCAATAGGGTAGACAAAGGGGTTCAATAGGGTGGACAGGGGTTCAATAGGGTAGACAATGGGGTTCAATGGGGTAGACAGGGGGTCAATAGGGTGGACATGGGTTCAATGGGGTAGACAATGGGGTTCAATAGGGTGGACAGGGGTTCAATAGGGTGGACAGGGGTTCAATGGGGTAGACAATGGGGTTCAATAGGGTGGACAGGGGTTCAATGGGGTAGACAATGGGGTTCAATGGGGTGGACAGGGGTTCAATAGGGTGGACAGGGGTTCAATAGGGTGGACAGGGGTTCAATAGGGTAGACAATGGGGTTCAATAGGGTAGACAATGGGGTTCAATGGGGTGGACAGGGGTTCAATAGGGTAGACAAAGGGGTTCAATGGGGTAGACAGGGGTTCAATAGGGTGGACAGGGGTTCAATGGGGTAGACAATGGGGTTCAATGGGGTGGACAGGGGTTCAATAGGGTGGACAGGGGTTCAATAGGGTGGACAGGGGTTCAATAGGGTGGACAGGGGTTTAATGGGTAGACAAAGGGTTCAATGTGGGAAAGTATTATATTTTACCTGAGCTGATTTTGACATCAGTCTGCACATAATGTTAGAAAAATTGTGCCAGGATTGTGAGATGACCAGGCATTCATTGCCCACATTATGGTGTGTTTCCACCAGACCAGCATCCACCAACTTCACATGTGTCTCCAGCGCAGAGTTGATTGCTGCAAGTTGTTACATAAGTTCTTAAAGTTAACTTTTTAACTATAGCATCAAAATCTACATTTCAAATGTGTTTTAAAACTCACATGAAACTTAAACTGTTTTCTCCATTGCTTACAATATATAGATTTCTAGGTCAATTGTTGGAAATTAGCAACACGTTAATAACAGATTATGAAAAACTAATTACCATCAGTAAGTGATAAAATCAAAACATACAAGTAAGCTTAAAAGTTTTATAGCTTTTTACAATGAACATTCAACAACTATGTAGGATAACCAATGAAAACTGATGAAATATATTTTCTCAGCTGTTACAGTAAACAAACAAAAAACACAATTTTTAAATTTTAATCAAAGAACTAAACCATAGCAGAATCCGATATCTTTTATTTCTTAAAAGGATCAATATATCTAATTTCAATCTAGATTTTCTAAATAAAAACGTAGCCTTTAATAGTTATTAAACACAGTTTTTGCAACTTATCAAACATACAGTTAAGAGTATATTTTTTCTATCTTCATTTAATTATTTTTTAATTAAAGAAATAAATCATAGACAATTTGCCTCAACTCACCTTGCATGCGACAGTCTCCCTCACCCTTCAAGAGCTCATACCTCTCTGTCACAAAGACGGCAGACACGAGGATAAATATAGGGTGCAAGAAAAACAAAACCACTGTGAAGGCTGACAGGAACACCAGTAGAAAATATTTGACATCCTGGTACTGAAACCCAACTACTGCTAAAATATACGTCATGATTACAATACTTTGAATATACAGCATGCAGCTGACTGCAAACAGCCATGGCCACCTTGCTCTTGAACTTAGTCTGAAATGTAGTAGTAAAAATAGTGTAAAAAATATAATTTACTCTGGATTAGAAATTAAGTAATAATAAACCGGTAGTGATCTCCCCTAAACTTTCTCGAATATTCTTATATAAAACAACAGGGGATGGTAACTGGGGATATAGCTATTATTTTTAATCCATTTTAAATACTTAAACTTTTAAAAATAGAATAGAATCTCATAAAAAAAACATTGCGCACCAAGCAAACGCCGAATAAAAACGCGTATAATAGTGCGCAATATTATTAGTACTTTAAAAATTTACATTAGTTTTTTGAGAAATCGGAAGTAGCGTAAATTACTACTTCCAGTCAACGGAAATTACTCAAAATTTAACAGAAGGTAGAGAATTAGATCTTTTACTTACATGTGAAATTTCATTTATCTATCTGAAATAGTACTCAAGTTATAGGCTTTTGAAAAATTCAAAGTAGGAAAAGTACCACTTCCGGTTGTCGGAAATCGCTCAAAAGTTGATACGGATCTACGATTTTGATATAATACTTATATATGAAATTTCATCAACCTAGCTGTAACGGTACTCAAGTTATCGTGTTTACACACGGACAGACACACACACACACAGACACACAGACACACAGACATACGGACAAGATTGCAAAATTATGTTTTTCCGTATCAGTGAGGTGTAAAACGTCGAGAACTGTAAAAATCTCGATTTTTTTTTTTTGCACGATTACAATACTTTCTCTATACTTCGTATATACGAGAAAGTAAAAATAGTGATAAAAAAAATTTAATTTTGACTGGAAATGTAGTAATAAAAATAGTGTAAAAAATAGAATTTACTTTATGTCTGAAATGTAGAAATAAAATGAATGTTAAAATCATACAGAATTCTTGAAACAAACATAATTGTCTAATAACATTGCTGCTTCACATTTCTGAGACAAACACAATAATTTCTTAGTTATATTAAAGCAATATATCCTTAAAACAAATCACAATAATTTCCTAGTTATATTACAGCAATATATCCTTAAAACAAATCACAATAATTTCCTAGTTATAGTACAGCAATATATCCTTAAAACAAATCACAATAATTTCCTAGTTATATTACAGCAATATATCCTTGAAACAAATCACAATAATTTCCTAACAATATCTTCACTGCACATCATGGAAACATTAATATTACAACTTTACCATTTCAAAACATTAATTTTCTAATAATATTACAACTTCACATTGTTGAAACAAACCAAATAAATGCCTGATAATATTACAACTTCACATTGTTAAATCAAAGAAAGTAAATGTCTGATAATACTTCAATCCAAAACATCTGTTTTAAACAGAAATACAAACGAGTGACAAGAGGAAAGATCGCTGAAAGATAAAGCTCCTTCTCATACAAGCTAAAACCAACCTCTGGAGTGGAGTGTTCAACTGTCCCGCGGAGTTGTTGTTGAGATTGTTGTTGCGGTTGATGTTGAAGTTGAAGGATGACTTGTTTACTAGATTGTCTACTGATGTCCCACCACTGCTCATGCTAAGACTGGACATGAGGTCCTCTAGTACTGTAGGATTTGGTGCAAAGTCTAATGTATCCTTTGAGGTAATTTCAGTAGTGTCTATAGTAGTGTCCCTCATATCAGAAGTCTTAGAGTCACTAAATATCTGAGAATCTGAATAGTAATGACAATTATTTTCAAATAAAACAAAAAACTTAACTAGGCTTAAACTTTATATGGCATAAACTTATTTATAAGCACAACAAATCATTTAACATAATGATACTGAACAAAACCAAAACTAAGCTAACTTGTAGAGTGTTTTTTTTTAACAGCAGAAATAAAAAAGTTAAAATCTAAACATAAGCTCAAACTCAAAAAAATAAAATTAACAGTTATTTTGGTAAATTAATTAAAATTAGTACATCAACCACTATTTCATTTTTATTGGTGATGCTAAAAGGTCAAATTTAATATTTAATTAATGGTTATTTTTTATATATTGGTTATTAAATCTCTTTAACTTCCTTTTATTGGTCATAGTTATGTATCTATGTTCGGTCTTCGGGTCTTTTTTTTTCTAAACTCACTGACACACCTATTCAGATAAAAGGTTGTGTCCAAAAACAGTGTGGCTTACCTACCCAGATACCTAAATAGGTAGTGACCCAATCATTCACCTCTCAGATAACACATTAAGGTTGTGTTCAAACACAGTTACTTATCTATTCAGATGATTTAAAAGGGTAGTCCGCGACTATATAATTATATAACTTAAAAAGACTTCTTTGATTTTTAAAAAGTGACTTATCTATTAGATGACTTATAAGTGACACAATGACTTAGCTATTAGATGACTTATAAATGAAAAAGTGACTTACTTATTAGATGACTTATAAATGACATAGCGACTTACTTATTAGATGACTTATAAATGATATAATGACTTACTTATTAGATGACTTATAAATGACATAGCGACTTACTTATTAGATGACTTATAAATGACATAGCGACTTACTTATTAGATGACTTATAAATGATATAGTGACTTACTTATTAGATGACTTATAAATGACATAGCGACTTACTTATTAGATGACTTATAAATGACATAGTGACTTACTTATTAGATGACTTATAAATGAGATAGTGACTTACTTATTAAATGACTTATAAATGAGATAGTGACTTACTTATTAGATGACTTATAAATGACATAGTGACTTACTTATTAGATGACTTATACATGACATAGTGACTTACTTATTAGATGACTTATAAATGACATAACGACTTACTTATTAGATGACTTATAAATGACATAACGACTTACTTATTAGATGACTTATAAATGACATAGTGACTTACTTATTAGATGACTTATAAATGAGATAGTGACTTACTTATTAGATGACTTATAAATGAGATAGTGACTTACTTATTAGATGACTTATACATGACATAGTGACTTACTTATTAGATGACTTATACATGACATAGTGACTTACTTATAAATGACATAGTGACTTACTTATTAGATGACTTATAAATGACATAGTGACTTACTTATTAGATGACTTATAAATGACATAGTGACTTACTTATTAGATGACTTATAAATGACATAGTGACTTACTTATTAGATGACTTATAAATGACATAGTGACTTACTTATTAGATGACTTATAAATGACATAGTGACTTACTTATTAGATGACTTATAAATGACATAGTGACTTACTTATTAGATGACTTATAAATGACATAGTGACTTACTTATTAGATGACTTATAAGGTGTGTGACACTCACCTTCCCAGATGGAGTTGGAGTGCCTGGAAAGTTTAGGAATATACTTCTGGGTGTCGACTTCAGAGCTGGTGGTTACATGGGTGGCAATACTCTGGGCCGAGGTTAGCGCAACCTTTGGGGGGGGAGTTATTCTAACTTTTGGAAACTCAACTCTCATACCTTGAAATGTGTACTCACAGATGCTGTTGACACAAAAAGTGGAGATGAGAATTTTGCTGTAGTTGATAAAAGTAGTAGTGTTGTTGGTTTCACTTTCTTCTTTTTCGTTCTTAATTGTATTATTGGACTGTATTTCCTCCAACACAATCAAATATTATGTGTCAACATGTTATGTGCCATATAGGCCATCGACTCCAATTTCAGCCTGCTTTTCTATTCAGGTTTGCTTCCATAGCCTTTGTTCAACCAAGAACAAACTACAAGACAGCAGTTGTTTAATTTTGGAGTTGTCTCTCCTAAAAGGGTTGCTGTCCCCAACTATTGAGCCTCATCTGCCCAAGGGTTCAAATTCAGGATTTTCACTTTAGAAACCATTAGCTTTATTGATTTGACCAATTGACAGGTATTCTCTTTAATTTTGCTGATTTAAAAAAAAAGTAGTTTTGTTGATAAATACCATGCTATTTAAAACACACCAATTTGTGTTAGATGAAATAACATCGGAACTATGGGTAGATCTACAGTGTTTTATTGGGTCCTAAGGCAAGGTTTTTTTTTCTGATTCTATAATGAGTAACTAACTTTAAAAATAATGATCATAGTGGGTGTAATAAGTGTTATCAACATATGTTAACATGTGTAGCACATTAATACAAGTTGATTTTTTTAAAGTTTGGTTAGGAGTCCTTTGATTTATTTGTTGAAATGCTTTGGAATTGTGTACACACTTTATAAACACTGACAGACAAAGTGGACAAACACAGATGAACATTCTACCAGTGAATGCTGAACAGTTCTCACTATTTTAAGTAGACACTGATGAAAAAAGTTGGAAGTGAAGAAAACAGTGTTGTCTTGATAAAGTGGGCTTCGTATTGGTCTTTGACCATATGCTTTGCATCTCCTTTAAGAAACTTCTGGGTGGAGCCTAGGTTCAACAGGCAGATGCACATGGTCATTAGGGTCGCACATAGGCAGCACAGGACATGCAGGGACTGGGGATGAGATGAATTCACAGCAGAAATGTTAAACATGTCTAAACATTATAATACATGACATGCAAGCAATGGGGATAAATCAATTCATAACAAAAGCATTTTCATACACTAAAATCTGTAGACATACATTGATTATAAGTTTTGGCTTTAATTGCAGTTGAAAATATTGTTACTCTTGAAGAGAATGGTTATCTTTCTTCCAACATTTGATAAAGAATTATTTTTTACTTCAGCATTAGGTTAAACAAATTTTAATCCTAACTCCAATATTTGGTAGAAAACTGTTTAGTTTCTCTCCAACATTTGGTAATAGAGTGTTCCAATTTTGCTCTAATGTTGGTAAAGAATTGTTCCAATTTTACTCCAAAAATTATAATGTCTGCAATTTAAAATACTGAATCTAGTTTTCATGCTAAGTTTTTAACAAACACCAGAGGTAAAAACACCCAAACTTTTATTACATACATTTGCATAGACAACACAGATGATTACCTTGGAGTAGGCACTTCCTTGTACATTGTAAAACATCCCAAGAGCCAAATGAAGATTTCTCAACAGACGAATGAAGTTAAAAATAATCAAGCGAGCTTTTGACCCTAGAGGTAAAAAAATCAAGCATATGCTACTTTATTCTGTCAAGAACTTTTGTCCAATTAGGCTTGGTGGCACAGACAGTAAGGGACCATTAACAGCTGCAAGTAAAATGCTGGAAAGTTTGAAGACCATAGTTTATAACTGAACGTTGCTTTATGTCTCATGTAGCTTTCAATTCTTGAAATATAGCACATACTATACGAGTCAATTTCTTGTGTAGGTCTACTTGTCATTTTTTTATTAATACAAAATACAATTTAAGTGAAATTTAGTGGCAATAATTTTATAGGTTAACAGAGTAAAAGAATTTTTTTACAGTCACATGTGAGAAAAAAAAAGCTAGAGATGGGTTAGTTCTATTATATGCTGTTCAAGTTTGTATGTGATAATTAAGGCAAGACTGTTGAAATCTAGTTTGGAAGATAATGGGATAAAATGTTAAAATTACAAGTGAACTGACCGGATGAGGAAGTGACAGGTTTCACTATGTAGTTGTGATGGGTCTGAGGGTCAGGTATCCAAGCTTCACAGATACAATAGCTGTCTTGTTTGGTGGCCAGATTTCTCAGAAAAACATGGTTGACATACCTACAACATAACTATGCCACTTAGAACAAAGACAGTTTAATCACAATAAAAATATCCTTTGTCCATGTTTTAAAAACTGACTTAGATGCAGAATAAAAAATTGTGAATTTAAGCAGACGTACCAAGCATCGTATTCATCAACACAGTCTAGAGACAATATCACATTCTGAAGGCTTCCCAAAGATCTTTTGCTGCTTATTAAAAACCATAGCTCCGAGCCAGTCTATAGATTGTATATGTTTGTTAGCAAACATCATCAAATATATTTATTTATTTGCTTAGACATCAGAAAATAGAGCCAGACACAGCAAATAGATTGTAAAGTTAGTTAAAAGTTCTCAACAAGTAATTAAGTATTCAACTGAAAGCTTGTTTTCTAAGCAAGCTGTTTCCAATATTTAGTATTGTATGTAAGTAATCAACAATTAATTCAGATTTTAATTAAAAACATTTGTCTTATGTCAGCTACATACAATAATAGTACAATTTTATTATTCATCAATTAATTAGGTTTTTAATTTTAAACTATTATTAATAATTACATTAGTAGTATTACTATATGCTTTCATTAGTGCACTAAGGTCTACGGTATTTCTAAACATTTACCTTAAAGAGCTGATCAAAGGCAGACAACCTATACACAGTGCTAACATTCTCAGACCCCACCAATGTTAAAGAGACAGTTGAAGCAGTACTAGATCCCCTCATCCAGCCTGTGGCTACACAGATTAAATATTGATCTTTCCCAGTGGGTGTGTATAGCTCTGGTAGAATGAAACTTTTTTCCTGTAAAATCAATATTTTAAAGTGATCAAACTCCTTCCCCGTAAAATCAATATTTTGTAACAATTAGAACTTCTCATGAATAAAATCAATATTTTTTTTTAGAAAGTAGACTTTTCTAGTAATTTAAAAAATCTGAAAAAATGTTAAAACCTTTCCCTGTAAAATCTAAATATCAAAATAATTTAAAAAAATAGAATTGCGAATACAAAACAAAATTTATTTTAATCCAATATTGTAGAGTAATACAAGTTAAATACTGTTCAATAGATATATTTTAATACTGGGTCTTTATGTTAAGTCTACATTATAATTATAAATGCTCAAAAATGGAAATTTTAAAATAGTTTATTTTTTTTTAATTCACTGACAATGTTCAGTACCAATTCTAATTAATACTTTATTAATTTAACAAAAGTGTAAATATATTTTCACAGCTCAAAAGCATCATACATAGTAAGTAAATTTTGTCAGACATTTATAATAGATTTTGTAGGTGAGGATAGCGGCAAATATTGCTTCAGAAAACAACAAAGTTTTCTCTTCACTGAGCCTTAACCATTTGTACAAGTATCGCTAACAAAAACCCCTAAAACTCACAAATGGTTTTTCCTGTTGATCCTTTCTTCTAGCCACTATAAGGAATGCTGCGAAAACAACCCACAATGCAATGAGAAATGATGAAGACAGAAGCTGCATTGTGTCCAAGTTTTCACTTGAAAAATCAACTATTTCATAATTTGCCCTGCAAAGCAAAATAAATTTAAAAAAAAAATTAATAGTCAGTAACGAAGTGTAATGTTCAAGGAAATCATAGTGAATGTGAAAGTCAAATCCCAGTGTTATGTGTAGGAGGTTGTCAAGTCCACCCATAAAAGATAAATACTATAATCTGGTTGGGAAAAAAAACAAAGATGGCTGGACATGTTTCTCACCACAGATTCTCATTACACACTGAGGTTTGAGGAAACATGTGAAACTATTAGGTATGGAAGGGTCTACTACAGCCAGGGTCATATATACTGTTATGGCCCGCTCTCCGACAGCCGCGGAGAGAGCGGACACCCCAGGTTCGTTTGGTATGGTACCGATAGAAGTCACTCTTAGAGAATCCCAACAACTTGCCGTGAGCTCGTTAATGTTGTCTAGGGGTAAAACACGACAAATCGAAGAGACTCAACACGACTTAAACTATCAATACCTTTTTAATAAATGTACAAGATTATGACACTAGGTAAGTTCAAAATGTACAGACTCTAAGAGTACAATAAATAAACTCAAAAACTCCAACTTACAGTTTGAGAAAATCACAATATATCACAGCTGTGGCTTAGTATATTATACACCAATAAAGATCATTACTTCACACAACTGAATGGCATCATAATTACCACAAAAAACCAAGAAGAGACGTTTGCCTCTACAACAATAGAAATCCAAATAAAGGATCAAACTATCACCGAAGTAATCAAAAAGGTGCAATAATACACCAGAACAAAATAGTTGAAATACTACAACTTGCCACACTATACCTTATACAAAAGGTGTTAATCATGTCACAAAATAACAATACTCAAAATGTGGCACACATAACCACCGGCACAACTCTCCTGGTCCTAAGGTCAATCTGGCTGCCTTTGAACTTGAAAATCCTGAGATTAAATAGCATTCAATAATAGGGGAAATAACTCAAAAGTCCCACGACTATTGGCTGAGGATCTGTCAAGGATCCTCACGGTCGCAAGACCATTGGTTGAGGTTCTGCCAGAGATTAAAATACAATCACCTGATGTGACAGAGTTCAGTTGACCGATATGAACCTGTGAACTGACAATTCTCCCAAGGTCAAATACATAACTCAGGAGATTAAAAGCAAAAAGACCTAAGTAGGTCACATCCCCTCCCTTTTAGAGAGGCATTTTTGTTTCACAAAAATGGCAATCACTATATTGAACAAATCTGACATAAAAAACGTCCAATTATAGTAACTAACAAAATTTCTATATCAGGAAAAAACATCCTTAAAAATTAAAGGGAAACAATTCACCTTTTTACAATTTACCAAACGGGAATAATCTTTCCCAAAATAAGAATACATTAAGATTCCTTATGCAAAGGTAACACAACATATCCATCTGGATATAACATGTGGGAAACTTACACCTTAATTCCTTTATTTATACGTCCCACTACAACATCAACTGAATAATGTGATACATTTTATAACAACTCACTGCACATTATACAAAACCACCTTTAAATAAGGTTCATTTGAAAATAACAGGCATTTTCAACAAGTAATCAGTTTTGAAACAACCTTACAATTCTGATCTGATTGAAAGTTTGGAACTCCAGTCACTAGGCTACAGTTTAATCAAACATAACGTTTGCAAAATGGTTATAACTAACCAAAAAAGTTTCACAAGATCAATGTGAACATCAAAAGTTGTTTTACATTCTTGACAAACAGTCAGCTACAATGTTGTCAGTTCCTTTAATATGGGAAATTACCAGATTAAAGTTTTGGAAAAATAGACACCACCTCAAAATTCTGTTGTTATTCTGCCCCAACTTAGTAGTGAACTTAAGAGGATCATGGTCAGAAAATACCATGACTGGATTTACTGAGGAAGTGACATAAACCTCAAAATGCTGTAAGGACGGGACTAAAGCTACTGCTTCTTTTTCACTGGCGGCAACAGCTGAAAAGTTTTTACAAAAACGTCTATAATATCCAGCCATCCCTAAGAATGGAGGGTAAAGTTTTAACTACCTGTGATAATTTCTGATTCTCATCAGAGGATAAACGTACAAGATGGTCTTCTAAATGGGCCAAAAATTTAGTGTTTAACAATTTTGGGGACTTTAACTTGTTAAGAGTAGCATCATCAAATTTACTAGATATACTTATAGGAAATGTAATCTTAGCTGTGGAGAAAGAGTTAGTGAGTTTACATGATAAACCAGTTGTTTCTTTCTCTGGTTTGGGAAGTAGGTGACGCAGTCCTTGGTAATCTTGTTAAATGCTTCGTCTAGCACAGGAATCGGTTTCATCGGCCTTGGGAATATTTTGATTGGGATTCCCAACCAACTGACAGTTCTTACAATGTCTACAATAACGGGTGTCATCGTTGTGCATTCTCGGCCAAAAGAACAGTTCATTTTCACAGTCGGGGTCTGTAGAGAACGGGTTCTGAACTTCCTGGGGGTGGACTTTGCTTCCCGCTAAGTCGTTACCTAGGAGCAAATGTACACCTGGGACAGGTATGGAATCGATCACCCCAAGGATGACATCTCCTTGGATGAGCTGATGTCTCAGGTTGAACTTATGTAGTGGAACTATGGTTGGTTCAGCTCCCACTCCTTGGATGATGGTGACATCACCGGTGTTGGTTTCTGGTGCAATTTTCAATGAGTCTCTCAGCAAAAGTGACTGAGAAGCCCCAGTGTCTCTTAGGACTACTATGTTCCGCGATGATCCTGGATCTCCAGGGTTGCTGATGACAGCATCTGTCATGAATGACGTGAAGCCAACAGTTCTCGATTCTTCACAATTGGTTGCTGCTGATGTAACCGGTCGGTGAAGAGGATAGTCATAAGATGACTGGACGAAAGTGGTGGGCACTTCATTACCTCCCTGTGGACACGCTGGTGTAGTGTCATCACGACGGGCGAGGTTCACCTTTGGACTTGCTTGATGGGGGAGAGCGTTACGAGATGATGTTCGTATATACTCTCTGTTGTCTCGCTGTCGCAGGAAACAGTTCTTGATGACGTGCCCAGGCTTAGAACAATAGTGGCAGATCAGTCGTTGCCTGGCTATGACTCTGGGTTTCTGTGGTGACTGACGAGATCTCAGCAACTGGCCAGCAGGGGGATTGTTGCTGATGAGAGGGAGTACCGGATTGAATTTGGTACCAGAACCCTGTGACTTCTTATGCACCAGCTCGTAGGTATCAGCTGATTCTGCTGCCCTTTTGATGTCTGTTATTCGGTTATCCAAGATGTGTAGTCTGATCTCTTCTGGTACTGCGTTGAGAAAATCTTCTCTTAGTATCAGACTTCTGAGTTTGTCGAAGTCGTCGACATTCTCGGAATGGAGCCATCTTGAAAAGACCTTTTCTTTTTCAAAAAGGAACTCAACATAGGTTTGGTTCTGTTGTTTCCTAATTTTTCTGAACTTAGTTCTGTAGGCTTCTGGAGTTACTTCGTAAGCCTTCAGAATGGCAGCCTTGACCTTTTTGTAATCGGACTGGACTTCGCGAGAGAGTGCCTGGTATGTGGTGGCAGCCTTACCAATTAAAACAGTGCTTAATAACGTCGTGACTACGTTACTAGGCCATTGACAACTTTCGGCCATGTTCTCAAATGTATTAAAAAATACAACAAGATCTGACTCATCAAACTTAGGGACTAATTTGCAAAACTTGGCCAATGTTTGGGCCACAGACAACTGAGAAGGACCTCCTGACCTCGAACTACTGCCAATAATACCAAACTCATACTCTAACCTCTTCATCTGAACTTCTCTTTCTAACTCTAGCCTGGCCTCAAACTCCCTATCAACAATTTTCACTTCCCGTGCCAAAACTTCAGAAAGGAGGCTCTCATCTAACATACCTTCATTAATGAAGTAGACAATAACTTTGTCCTTCAACACCCTAGAGGTCTGCGTAACAGTATACTCCAGGTTTAACTCTTTGACAACTGTTATCAAATCTTTCCTACCTAAGTTCTCAACTGCTTCCACAGTAGGACTTAACAACAAAGCCTCCATAGCTACAAAGTAACAATGTTTACCTTCAACTGATAACAAAAACAACTACTCAAGAACTAGTTCAACTTATTCGAACTTCTGACCTAACTCTAGATCACAAACTCAAACCAGTGCCAAACTTGCACATAAATCAAAATACCGGTCGAGCCCTCACTTGTTATGGCCCGCTCTCCGACAGCCGCGGAGGGAGCGGACACCCCAGGTTCGTTTGGTATGGTACCGATAGAAGTCACTCTTAGAGAATCCCAACAACTTGCCGTGAGCTCGTTAATGTTGTCTAGGGGTAAAACACGACAAATCGAAGAGACTCAACACGACTTAAACTATCAATACCTTTTTAATAAATGTACAAGATTATGACACTAGGTAAGTTCAAAATGTACAGACTCTAAGAGTACAATAAATAAACTCAAAAACTCCAACTTACAGTTTGAGAAAATCACAATATATCACAGCTGTGGCTTAGTATATTATACACCAATAAAGATCATTACTTCACACAACTGAATGGCATCATAATTACCACAAAAAACCAAGAAGAGACGTTTGCCTCTACAACAATAGAAATCCAAATAAAGGATCAAACTATCACCGAAGTAATCAAAAAGGTGCAATAATACACCAGAACAAAATAGTTGAAATACTACAACTTGCCACACTATACCTTATACAAAAGGTGTTAATCATGTCACAAAATAACAATACTCAAAATGTGGCACACATAACCACCGGCACAACTCTCCTGGTCCTAAGGTCAATCTGGCTGCCTTTGAACTTGAAAATCCTGAGATTAAATAGCATTCAATAATAGGGGAAATAACTCAAAAGTCCCACGACTATTGGCTGAGGATCTGTCAAGGATCCTCACGGTCGCAAGACCATTGGTTGAGGTTCTGCCAGAGATTAAAATACAATCACCTGATGTGACAGAGTTCAGTTGACCGATATGAACCTGTGAACTGACAATTCTCCCAAGGTCAAATACATAACTCAGGAGATTAAAAGCAAAAAGACCTAAGTAGGTCACAATACAACATGTACATTTACATGACAGCAGTATAAAAAATATACACCTAAAACCTACAATGGCACCTTAAATTGGGCACCACATGGGGAAACACCTGCAGTGATAATTTCCCATCCAAGAGTAAAAACAATGTAAAACTACAGTTAAACTCACCATGACAACCTAAATGTGGGCCTAAATTTGGCAACATATGCAATGATAATTTCCCATAGAGCAGTATAAACAATGTAAAACTGCACTTAAATTACCTTGGCAACCTAAATCTCAGCCTAAATTGGGCAACACATGCTATAATAATTTCAAACAGAGCAGTATAAACAATGTAAAACTGCACTTAAATTACCTTGGCAACCTAAATCTCAGCCTAAATTGGGCAACACATGCTATGATAATTTCAAATAGAGCAGTATAAACAATGTAAAACTGCACTTAAATTACCTTGGCAACCTAAATCTCAGCCTAAATTGGGCAACACATGCTATGATAATTTCAAATAGAGCAGTATAAACAATGTAAAACTGCACTTAAATTACCTTGGCAACCTAAATCTCAGCCTAAATTGGGCAACACATGCTATGATAATTTCAAATAGAGCAGTATAAACAATGAAAAACTGCACTTAAATTACCTTGGCAACCTAAATCTCAGCCTAAATTGGGCAACACATGCTATAATAATTTCAAACAGAGCAGTATAAACAATGTAAAACTGCACTTAAATTACCTTGGCAACCTAAATCTCAGCCTAAATTGGGCAACACATGCTATGATAATTTCAAATAGAGCAGTATAAACAATGTAAAACTGCACTTAAATTACCTTGGCAACCTAAATCTCAGCCTAAATTGGGCAACACATGCTATGATAATTTCAAATAGAGCAGTATAAACAATGTAAAACTGCACTTAAATTACCTTGGCAACCTAAATCTCAGCCTAAATTGGGCAACACATGCTATGATAATTTCAAATAGAGCAGTATAAACAATGAAAAACTGCACTTAAATTACCTTGGCAACCTAAATCTCAGCCTAAATTGGGCAACACATGCTATAATAATTTCAAACAGAGCAGTATAAACAATGTAAAACTGCACTTAAATTACCTTGGCAACCTAAATCTCAGCCTAAATTGGGCAACACATGCTATGATAATTTCAAATAGAGCAGTATAAACAATGTAAAACTGCACTTAAATTACCTTGGCAACCTAAATCTCAGCCTAAATTGGGCAACACATGCTATGATAATTTCAAATAGAGCAGTATAAACAATGTAAAACTGCACTTAAATTACCTTGGCAACCTAAATCTCAGCCTAAATTGGGCAACACATGCTATGATAATTTCAAATAGAGCAGTATAAACAATGTAAAACTGCACTTAAATTACCTTGGCAACCTAAAAAGGGCCTAAATTGGGCAACACAATCAATGATAATTTCCCATAGAACAGTATAAACAATGTAAAACTGCAGCTAAACTTACCAAGGCAACCTAAATGTGAGCTTACAAGGAGCAAAGCCAGCAGTGAAGAGAAGTCCTCCATCACAAATACAATTAGCAATAGGAGGCTGGCCAGCACTGTAAGCTGTAGGCTGAAAACATGACAGGAAATGTTAATACCAAGTCTTTGTTATTGCTGTACAGGTTTTCAGCTTCAGTGATAAACTTCATAAAACAATTACACTATGGGACTCACTTATAAACTAAAAATGAAGTTGACAATGTAAAACAGGAGGTTCTGGGATGAAATTTTTAAAAATTTTAATGGTGAAGTTTTTTTTTTAAATGTGTAATGTTAACAGCTTTGGTGGAAATGTTGGGTATAGGTTAGGGTTTAGAAAATGTAAACCCTTGTCCAGTTTTTTGTTTAAACATTTCATACAACTTTTAAAATTATGTAACTCATATTTAGAAATGAAAAAAAAAACACAAACACAGATTAACAATTAACAAAACAAAACACTCATTTAACTAAAAAGAAAACACATAATACACATTTAACTAAAAAGAAAACATATAATACACATTTAACTATGAAAAAAATACACATTTAGCAATGAAAATCACAATACTATAACAATGCAAAAAACGAACAACACACATTAAGAAATTGAAATAAATAATCAACACGCATTTTAGCAATGAATAAACATGGCATACACATTTAACTATGGAAAGAATACATGTTTTTAAATGGAAAAAAAAATACATATTCAGTGATAAAAACACATAAGGCAAATTTAACAGTTACTTACACGACAGTTTTGTGCAGCCCACGAGCGCTCATTGAAGTTCCAATCCACACAAGATAAACGGAAGCATTGGATTGTAATATTTTCCCTGCCTAGCTCATTAACGACCCCTGGCTTTTTTTTCTTTTGCTTTGTTGAGTTATAGCTTTCCTCCACCTTCAACTTGAGCAAAATGTAATACTTCCCTCCTGACATAGAGTAGTGCTGTTTCTGTTATATGATTTAAACAAAGATGTTAAGTTTTAATTCTTTGAAGACATTTTTATGTTAACTAACCACTTTAAAACAATAAATTAGAATAATTTAAAAAAATATTTCACACAATAAATCTAAACATTTAAAAATTGGTTTAAAAAATATACAGATTTTAAAAAATCATAAAAAAGAAAAGAAGCAAAAAAGAAAAGTAAAAACAATTAAAGGATACTTTTAAATGTTAAAGTTTTAAGATAGGTTTATGCAAGGAAAATATTGTTTTTTAAAGACATCAATAAATAAATGAGTAAAAATAAAAATAAATTAAAAATAATAATCATTAAAAAAGTTTTTAAAAACCCACGTTTCCTGATTGAACTAAAAAGTAGAAAATAAATACTATACATCACAATAATGCAAACGATCACTCTACTAAAAGCGATGAAAAACGTGGGGCGCCGAAGTAAAAGTTATATTACTATTGATTAGATAATACTATTGACTTTTATTAGGGAGCTTGTAGAGAGTCAACAGTATTAGAAACTGTAAGAAAATCACGGCGCCCCACGTTTTTGATAGCTTTTAGTAGAGTGATCGCTTGCATTATTGTGATGTATAGTATTTATTTTCTACTTTTTAGTTCAATCAGAAAACGTGGGTTTTTTAAAACTTTTTTAATGATTATTATTTTCTACTTTTTAGTCTTTGTCTGTTTGTTTGCATTGAAATCTTGCTATCGATTTTATCTTTTCACTTTTTTTTGGGTAAACGAAGACAACTCGTAAAAAGACAACTCGTAAAAAACGAGAGACCCTTTCTTCTTCGGTCTCAATCGCAAGTGAATGATTGTCAGAGGTTAGTTGAAAGCGGTTAGGACGAGGGCTGGTTACTGACTAGAACACATAGATTTGAACCCGTGTCGAGTGGGATAGCAATCGTGTGCCCAACCACTCGACCATATCGTCTCCCCCAAACTGGCCACCAGTGGTAATAGTTACCTCCTGTAAGTTTAAAGTCGGTTCAAACTAAATTATCTGCCCCTAAGCCTGTCGCGACGTGGGATCGTTCGCTTCACTGCGCGCGGCAAGAGAGAGGCGAGCTACGCGTCGCTCGTTTTTTTTCTAATGGCTCGCAGAGGAGAATTATATATATAGATTATATAGCGGTCTAAAATGC